AAAGGGAGGGTTCGTTCTGGGCGACCCCCAGGAGAAGAGTAAGCCCCCTGAGTGGGTTGAGCGATTCCCTTCCGATGCTCCGGGTCAGATCCTCGCGGCTGCTCCGTTTCCGACGCAGCGCTGTTGTATTTCCCACGCGGAGGGGTGCCGGCTCTGTGCAGCCGTTCTGGGGTCGTGAGATGCTCTGTTGTTGTCAAGCCGCTGCCTGCCTGTGTGATTGTGTTCTGTTCTCCTTGTAGATGGAGGAGATTAAATTTAAAGACAGAGCAGTCTACGTGCTGGAGAGAGAGTTAGGGGTTCAAGCCGGGCATGCTCAGAGACTCCAGCTCCAAAAGGAGGCTTTAGATGAACAGCTTTCCCAGATCAAAGAGTCTGATCGGCATCTGAGCAGCCCCAAGCGGGAACTTCCTTATGCAAGTGGTGCAGGAGACGCTTCAGACCATTCGGGAAGCCCCGTAAGCACTTTCACGTGGTTTCACCTACACAAACGAGCAGAGAGCGACACAGAGAGGGCACGAAGGGGCAGGATCTTGATGAGTGCACCCTCGAGCGACAGCTTTCCCGTAGCCCCGTGGGGGGACCCCGAGGCACCCACGGCTTGCTCTCTTCTGTGAGCCAAACCCCTGAGGTTTCAAACCAAGCCTTGTTACGGGAGAGCTCTTGCTTTACTGTCGTTTTGTTTCCTGGTCTGTTGGTTTGGTTTTGTTAGCGGGGTGAAAGCTGTCTGTTCTCTTCCTCCTCCCTTTCCTCACTCCACCATACTCCTGCCGCCCACCCTAATCTGACACTTTGACACCCTTCTGCCAACAAATGATGCAAATGCATTCCCGACCGAGTGTATGTGTGCTCACGGCTCCTGAGCAGATGCGCGAGGCCAGTTTGCAAAGGGGAGCGGGGGAAGGCGAGCGGCGCGTGAAGGCGCGGCGGTCCCGCGCTCCTCCTGGGACCCCCGCTGGCTCTGCTTGTCGTCCTGCTCAGTGCTCGTGCTTTCAGCGGGCCAGAAAGTGAATTAAACACTTATTGTTTCTCTCCTATTTCTGTTCTACAATTTAATTAAATTTTAGCCCACCTTTCACAATGGCTTTTTTTAATATAACTATGGCTCCTTTCTGCTTTTGCCTTAATTTGCTCATTAAAAGTCCCTCAGTTAACTGACCTCATGTATCTGACGTATGCAAACTTTCTTCATTGCTCATCAAGATTTCTTTTGCAACAGCCCTAATTTTCTCAGTCAAAGCGTAAATATTTATACGTGAGCAAACCAATCTATTGTATTCTTTGTCCCAAGCCTCTCCTGCACCTGTTGAATGAGGAACCCTAGGCCTCCCAAAAGTGCCAGCAGCACTGCGGACGCCAATTTGCCTGTTCCGATTGGTACTCCTGCCAAACGTCAGAACGAGTCCTAGAGAGGGGGAAAAAGTCTGTCACGTTAGTAAATAGATGCAACTTCCCTCTGGTTCTGAACGAGAACACGCCTACTGATTGCTAATCTGACTTAAGCATTTTCACTCGGATGAAGTGCTACCCCTTCGGCTTTACGAGGGACTCTTTCGACCCAATAAGGGCCACAGCTTTATGGACGAGCTTATGCAATGACATAATTGCATGGATTTTCCCCATTTGTACTTTAGTATTTTAAATATCACTTCCTTACAACCAAGTCCTCAGAGTGGGGGATGTCTCTGAAGCACTCAGTTCAACAGCGGCATACATCGGAAACATTGCCTTGATTTTTGAGATTTCCTTTCCAATTTCCAAGTTTGCCATTTGTGACTTTGTATTTGCATATACATACATCTGCATTTGCATACTTTGTTACATTTCCACTCCGAACTTTCCATTGGTCTCATCCCACAGCTCTCAGTGCTCAGTTAGGTTACGTGGGTTACACTCTGCCGTATGATGCTTTGAAATGTTTGGATTTGGGATAAGAGAAAGTTTGAGCTTTGAGAACGTACTGATATTGCCTGTAGGTTGATGAACAGTTATTTGCAGTTGATCTTTGTTTTAGGAACAGCAGTTGGATGAAAAGGATGCCCGGCGTTTCCAACTGAAAATCGCCGAGCTGAGTGCCATCATCAGGAAGCTGGAGGACCGCAACGCGTTGCTGTCAGAGGAGAGAAATGAGCTGGTGAGTGCAGCGGCGAAGCGCAGCGCTGACGGCTCGTGAGCGCGCTGCTGTGACATCCCTTGCCACCAAAATTTCGGGAGGTTTTCCCTGTGCCATTTTGATGTCACTGCGGGACTAGCTAACTCCTCCCTGCACTCTGTATCTGGTGACTGCTGAGACATGCCTTGCCACCGAAATAGCGGGAGGTTTCCCCCTGTGCCATTTTGAAGTCACTGTGGGACTAGCTGGCTCCTCCCTGCACTCTGTATCTGGTGTTATGCCACATCCCGATCATCTTTGCTTATGTGACTGAATTTTTAAGATGGCATTAGCTGGAGTTGATTTTGTTTGTTTTTAAAAATAAATGCATTCCTCACATGGTAGACTTGTTGCACAGATTGAGTACCTCATGAAGGAGGAATGACCTGCTTCCCAGTGGAAAACACCAAGAGTTTTTAATTAATTCTATTTTGCATTACGAGAAAATGCTGCTAGTGTGACAGTTAAAGAAAATAATTAACATATCTGATAAAAATAGGAGCTCCAGAGGTGTTAATTCTCTCTTTATCTTCCAGTTAAAACGCCTTAGAGAAGCTGAAAGCCAGTATAAGCCCATTCTGGACAAGAATAAACGCCTTAGTAGGAAGAATGAAGAATTGTCACATGCCTTACGCCGAATGGAAAATAAATTAAAATTTGTAACGCAAGAAAACATAGCGATGGTGAGTGTCGGTGTGCTCCGGGGGGAACGTGTGATTTCGTGCTCACAGGGCCGGCAAGGTCAGGCGTCACTCCAAACTTGCAAATTTGACAGGAAACTCCTCTTTTGGGTGCTTCTGAGGTGTCCCGTGGTGCATTATTGGGTGGTTTGTGGTTTGAACATGGTTTGTTTTAGATAAAATGTTTTATTTTAGCTTTAAAAGAAATAGTTCTGAAGCAGTGTGAGCTTTGCACGCTTTGATCAGGCAGCTGCTCAGCTTCGACCTGAGCACACATCAGCCCACATCACCTTGGTCTCTCGTTCCAGAGTCACCTCGTAATCCTTAGGGAATCTTGCCTTTTTTATCACTGGAATACTGTAACAGCTGGCAGCAGGTAGCTGTGGCATCGCAGGGCTGAGCTCATCCCCACGGCATCCTGCTCTTCCCCCCAGCAACCACGAGCTCCCCCCACAGTCGGAGGGGCAGGAGCACCCGGTGCCTTCGCTGTCCCGCTGTAGTGCCAGCGGAAGGGGAGCGGGAGAGCTGCCAGAATGTCCGTGAGATCGGATGGGCGCTAGCTGTAACGGGAGGGGCGATACGCTGTCCTTCGGCAAAGCCTTCTGATCGTTCCCTCCTCTGCCCGGTGGGTTTCTCTTAGAGGCAGAGAACTGGCACAATAAGGAGACCAAGCTCTTTAAATGACCTCGACCACAGTCAGGAAGAGAGAGAAGTTGATTTCCTGAGACTGCAAGTCATTGAGCAGCAAAACATCATTGATGAACTCTCCAAGGTGAGATGCAATCGCGGCTCTCGTGTTGACTAAGGCCGTGGCAAAGACCGGGGGGCTTGGGTTTCGGTGTGCTGAGGCATAGCCTGCACCAGCGGAAACGTGGTAGGTGTTGCTGCGATTAGTAGGGATGCGACTCAGCGTAAGTTATCTGGGGTGTAGTAGGTGAAAAACCCTTTCAACCCACACGGTACATGCCTGACAGGACCACTGCAGCACGTCCGGTCGATAGGCTGATGGCCAGATCCTGCGACAGAAAATGCCAGCGCCGCTTTAGCTGGAGGCAGCGTCGGGGCTGCCGATCGCCGTGTACACGGGGGGTGCTCTGCCACGTGTTCTCAGTCTCTGGAAAGAGCAAAATGAAATCATAACACTCCCCAAGAAAATAACTCTTCTTTTTTATGCCCATACACTTCCTGACATTATTTCATTCTTTTTTGCTAGACGCTGGAGACTGCTGGCTACGTGAAGAGTGTCATGGTAAGAATGAGGTTAACTTTGTCCTCGTCTCTGTAAGCTTTTAGTTGCTGTTCATGAAAAGTACGCAAGGGGTAACAACACTTATTATCATGTCTCTACTCAGAGGGCTAACTCAGTGGTTTTCTTAGGATAGGTGTTACCACAGAAGGAATCAGCAGAAGTGGCTCACCAGAGAAAAATGCGGTGAGGGTGGAGAGAAAAGCTCTGGGGAGGGAGGAGAGCTCTGGTCAGCGCCAGCATGACCCGAGAGCAAAGGTCAGCCTGGTCACCCTGTGCTGACGGCCAGCAGCGAGGGTCCCTGTCTCTGGGGCAGCTCTACCACGTGGGAGTTGATTTAGTCTGGTTACCCCGGCTTTGTCTCACCCGTCCTGGCAGGTCCTCAGCCACTGCCCTTGCCCATCTCTCTCCGTAACGACAGGAAGTCACTAGCGTGCGCGGGCAAGCCGGGTCGTGTTTTGTGCTTTGCCAAGCGTGCAGCAGAGCTGCTGCTCTCAAGCAAAACGAGCGTTTGGTTTTCCTGTCTCGCTCCCGCAGTTGTGTTTTGCCATCGGGCTGATGGTAGTTGGACATTGCCAATGTCCCACGGTGCCATCGCATCCATGTACCAATGGTTAAAATGAAAGAGAAAGGGGTCTTCCCTTTGGAATTTTACTCTCCAATCTTGGAGTTTGCCCGTCTTTGTAATCCAGAGTGAAGGATGTTTTTCAGCGCTACGAAACGTTGCGATGACTCTGTCACGAGTGTCGTAATTTCCCCTGAAGAGAAAAAATTGCTGGCGGCAATAAAGGCTCAAACCCTTTTTGGGAAGCAGCCGGAACCTGCAGGTCCCTAGAGAAGTCAGCGGAAAGCGCCGAGTTCCAACAGCCTCTGGGTGTTGCCTGGTGGGGCTGTTGCCTGCCTGCGCGGCAGTCAGGCCGGGGGTCCCCCCGGCCGGGGGCTGTTTGCCTCTTGCCGTGGGGCAGAGGAGAGCCGCGGCACACGGCGCTCCCGGAGCGTCTCTGGAATGCTGCCCGGGCTCTCAGCGTGCTGCGCTGGCTACGATCAGCGTTCTTTTGCTGATTTGGTTTTCATGGATACGAAGAGCAATTGCTCCTTGTTCAGGGCAAACGTGGGGGGTGTGGGAGTGAAACCAGCATTTGACAGCTGGACACAGGGTTGTCCCGTTGGGAGGCAATGGCCAGCGCTGTCGTGACTCTTGGTTGCCCAGTGACTACCAGTAACACGTGTCTCTGATTCTTTCAGGAACGGGATAAGCTGTTAAGGTATAGGAAGCAAAGGAAAAAAATGACAAGAGTTCCCAAGGTAAAACCAAAAGCTGGCGTCATGATGTGCTGATGGACGTGCTGGCTCCCCCGGGTGCTCCGAGCGCCTCGGAGCCACACAGGGCCACGTTCTCTTCGGGGGTCTGCACACGGGTCCTGATCTTAAACTTGGGGTCAGGCGCGTTCGTAGAGAGCATTGGCACGACGCAGGCAAGACCTGGCAGGGGTCGGAGAACCGTCTGCGTTGCGCAGTACGAGCGTTCGCGTGCTCTGCAGTTACCCTGAGCGGTTTTGGTGTCCCGTGGGACATGACCATCCTAAGACAAGACAGATTTTATGAATTAACTCATCTCAAAATGATATTTTAATGGCGCTGCCTGAAAACATGTGTAGTTTGTAAATAATTGACGGTGAGGTTTAGTAACATGCAAGAATTGCTGGTTACACGGAGCGACGGTTAGAGCTCAGGGAAAAAGATGATGTTGGATAATGAGTACTTGGCAGGATGTTAATATAAATATTAACACTGCATCGGCACAGTGAGGTATAATGTCAGGGACCAGAGAGCAGTCTGTGTTCTGCATACGCTAATTAAGGTGCTGCGGGAGCTAACGAATCTACAAACGACACGCTGCAGTCGATGTGAGAGAACTCCTTGACGGCTGTCGTGCTGCGAACGGCAGCCAGGCCTTTGACAGGGTCAGGCTTTGCCTCCTTCAAAAGTTATCTGCAGCAAATTGAAGCAAAAAGCCAAAATCTAGAGATGTTTCTGTAAATCAACAACCAAAAATACTTCAGTGTCGTGTTTGAAACGTCCCTTTTGGCTTTCAAGCACGGTAAACCTGTCTTTGCCACCATTACCCTCGTTCCTTCAAACAGGAAGCAGCTTTGGGTGGAAAAACGGATTTCTGGGAAGTGTAAAAGCATTGCTGTGGCAATTAACTTCCAAGCTGCAGGTAGAAGGTTTCTTGCCGATCTGCCTTTTGACGGGAAAGCTGTGGTGGTGGCAGGAGGGACGTGGTGGTGGTGGCAATGGCATTTCACTGCGCAGCTCCCACCTTGCGCTGGGATGGACACAGAGGCAAATACATTAAAGACATTAAAATACCTGAAACAAGGCAGGGGCTTTGCGGTTGCACGCTGCGATACCTCGTGACAAACATGGTGATTCAGGGATGTGAATAGTTTCAGGTACCGTCAGGGCACTGCGTAGGGTTCAATACCTGCGTAAGGAGCTGGACCCGCTTTTCAGAACGCAGTGGGGTGAGAATTACCAGTCACCTGGGTTGAGGCTCCTCTGAAGGTTCAAAGGCGCAGAGTTCAGCCCTGTGTCCAAAGTCACCGCTGTCCCCGTGAGGACGTCGGGCTGGCACAGCCGGTGGCACGGCTGTTGTGCGTCAGCACGGCTGGCGTACAACACAGCTGTTGTGTGTCACGGCTGGTGTACTGCACGGCTGTCATGCATCATGGATGGCATACTACACGGCTGTCGTGCATTGTCACGGCTGTTGTACTACACGGCTGTCATGCGTCACGGATGGCGTACTACATGGCTGTTGTGTGTCACGGCTGGTGTACTACACTGCTGTCATGCGTCACGGCTGGTGTGCTACATGGCTGTTGTGTGTCATGGCTGGCATACTACATGGCTGTCATGCATCACGGATGGCGTACTACATGGCTGTTGTGTGTCACAGCTGGTGTACTACACGGCTGTCGTGCATCGGCAGGGTTGGTGTACTACACGGCTGTCGTGCGTCATGGCTGATGTACTACACGGCTATCATGTGTCACAACTGAGTACTACACATCTGTCATGCATCGTCATGGCTATTATGCATCGTGGCTGGTGTACTACATGGCTGTCGTGTATCATGGCTGTCGTGCATCACGGCTGCGTACTACACGGCTGTCGTGTGTCACGGCTGTTGTACTACACGGCTGTCGTGTGTCACGGCTGCATACTACACGGCTGTCATGCGTC